TATATATATATATATATATATATATATATATATATATATATATATACATACACACACACATACATATACATACACACACATATATTTTTTTTTCATATTTAATATATAAATATAGGTAGTTAATATACATAACATACATGATATACATAGAAACAGAAATAGTATTATAAATATACACGTTTTCCTCACAAATATTCCTGCTATCAGGAACAAAATATCAAATGATCACATTCAGAAACATTCATCCTTCGATTTACACACCCACTCAAAACAAGCAGGGCTTTGCCTACACGTGGCCCCCGGAATCTTTGGCATGGTAAAAACAAGGCAGAAGAACACAAGAGAACATAACAAGCAGCAGGTCACCTGAAGTGCAGAGTAGGTATAGGGATAATGATAAGCCAGGTAGCAGACGTCTTCACCATGCTGGAAGGTCACGGTAAAGGTCAAGGTGTAGTATCTGTTGCACTTCTGGGGTCTAACTGGGCAGAAATGGTTCCTGAAAACAGGAAGATGGGCAAGGTCGCGAGGGTAGTTTGCAGCGTCACCTGCTGGCAGGATGTCAGGACATGCGGGCGCCATCTTCTCACCTGTAGTAGCAGATGTTGCTCCCGACACGCACCCAGTGTGGCCGTCCCTCCAGCGCCTCGCGCACAGAAAACAGAACAGGCTGCATGCCTAAGGTCAAAAAGCATCTGTTACCAACCCCTCGTCACACTGCCCCGCCCCTCCCCCAGAGTGGTTATTGACACAAATCTGCATTTCATTTTATATCCAAACTGGGTATTTCTGTCCCATGTATTTTTGTCCTACTGGGCACCTTTACCCGGTTTCACTGACGGTGTCAGGAGGTTTTACCCTGCAGTAATACCCTGCACCGGGATGCGCACTGAGGGATGGTGGCCCACCAAGGTCCACGGGCTTTGCTGCTCCGCAGCACGCCTCAGTCCCCAAGTGCCTCCCTCACTCCGGATATTATTAGGACGCGGCCTGAAGTTCACCAGGTGCTCCAGGTGGAAATCAGTTGCTGGTGCAAAGGTATGCCACAAACCTGCAGACATGGCTCTCTGTGGAAGAGGACTCAGCAGCCCCGGTATAGAGTACTTCCCTTTAGCATTACTGCGTCCCTGACCATGTAATGTGCCTTTCCTACTGACCCGTGTCCATCTCCTCCCGCAGCGGTTTGCTCTCCTACGGGCAAAGACTCCATGCTCATGTGTTTATGGGTTGGCTTACCGTAGTTGAACTGGCTGTTGGCTTTCTCACAGTTGATGATGTTGAAGCGATATGGAACGTCAGCCTCCATCCCACTGACCTCAAAGTAGAACCACTGGTGGTGCTGAGAGCAATTGGCGTCTGCATTCAGAATGAGGTCATACTCGTGGCTGTATGGGGGAGGGTGGGGGGATTGTAATGCACAATGCATTATCCCAGACGCGTGCCTGTGCATCTATTTCGATCTTTACCATTATGTACCACAGCGAGGAGTCACTTTGCCAGGGGAACATGCGTGTGATTCTGCTGAGTTGGGGATTTTCACTAATGCCACCTTCCATGATCTTGTAAATGAGCTTGGTGAGCTAATTCTATAAAAGAGGAGGCTGCTGTCAGCTCTAGCAATGAGTGATTTGAGGGCCTCTCTTGTATAAAACAGAGCACTGGCGACTGTGATCATGTGACAAGTACTTAGTGGCTCCGTGGGCATGAATAGCACAGCATTACCTGCGGACCTGAATGGCCTTGCGTAGATTACCACTCTCAAACTTGGAGAAGAAGCAAAGCGAATCAGATCGTTCCGAACAGGACCGGGAGCTGGATGACACAGGAGGGAGAAAGCATTTTGGGAGGGTGGCCATTTCGAGAAGATGAGACACACGCACCACACAGCGGGGCAATTAGGTTACACATGTCCTCCAGTTAGCATTTCTTTTTTCTATAAAGCTTTAAAGCCACTAGCTAAGCCAGGGGTGGCCAATCTTATCCGCAAAGGGTCGGAGTGTATGCTGGTTTTTGCTGCAACTAATTACTAATTAGAGGACTGATTGGCTGAAGAGTCCTCACACCTGGGTTTGAACAGCTGATCTACAGGTTATCGCAAAAACCTGCATACAGACCGGCCCTTTGTGGATAAGATTGGCCACCCCTGATCTAAGCCACCATGTTTGTGACGTTGGTGTGAGAAAAAAAAACAGGAAGTGAAAAGCAGATGATGGAACATGAGGCCAGAAAATAAATGGCAAGGTTGCGGAAAGGGACTAAAAAAAGGCACTGGATCCAAAAAAATAAATTGTAATGCTGTACCCCAAAACAGCGAACCGGATCTGGTCCCTAGATCAACCTGAAAGACGACAGTCCAGTCTTTCAGATTCAAAAACCCACTGGCATTTTTTTCCATTTATATTCCCCATTTTAGTGCTCCGGGGTGACTCACTGGGCGGAACTGTGGCCTCATCCCTCCAGGGCTGGGGGTCTGATCCCCCTCCTGCTGTGTGCGTGGGATCTACACAGTCTCCCCACATTTCCTCTGGGTACTCTGGCATACTGCCATAGTCCAAAAACATGAGGTCAACTGGTATCTCAAAATCTCCCTTACAGCGTGAGTATGTGAGACTGTGCACCCTGACATGGGCATCTTGTCCAGGGTGTCCCCTGCCTTTCTGCGCTGTACTTACTGGGATAGGCTTGAGGCTCACAATGACCCTGCCGTGAATAAAGTGTTCTGAAAAATTAATGCATTTTAGAGCTACCTCCAGGTGAGGGTCTAAAAAAAAACGATAAAAAAAAAATAAACCCCAGTTCAATGTGTGTAACGTGATGCTAATGTGTCCAATTCATGGATCCACTGAGAACAGAACCCCTGATCATCAAATCTCGGCAACCAAGGGGACTCTGCTCTCTATTATGTGTATAGCTGATACTGTTAACCACAACATAAAGACTCATATCAAAGGGTGTTTTAAACGATGAATTACACAGCCATGCCACTCATTCTCCAGGGAAACAAATGCTGCAATAGAAACACCTACAAACAGCCACGTGGAACAAACACAAAGTGAAGGAACATACTATTCATTACAAGTGGGGCACAAAGAAGGATGACGGAGCGTATTATAAAGCTGGAAAAGGCTGATTTGTCTCTTCTGAGCTTAGAGTAATCCTCTCATTTCATAATCCAAACATTGCCGCAGCTCCACATTTGTGCTTATACATGTGAAAAACATACACTGTGTTCGGCTACACTGGATATCATCACGTCAAAACCAATGTTCTTCCACTGGTATCAGGATAGAAACACTATCTAGGCACATCCCCATCCCTTGTGTTGTTATGCAAACATTGACATCACCTGAAACCAAACGAAAAGCCCTAAGTCGGCGCACCCCCACGACGGAGAAGCACAGAGGAGCCTTAAGCTACGTGGCAGAATGCTATTTCTGACGCCCTGTGCTTCCCCAGCTCTGTGGGAGAAAAGATGACAGCCACGGGCACCAAGATTTCAAAGCGACACTGGAGGACTCCTGCACACGGAGAACATGGATGGCCCCCCTGCGGATCAATGCTCGCAACTTATTTTTGGAAGATATAAACACAACTAAGAAATGCTTCAGAGCAAAATTTGAGATTTTGACCAACTATAACCAGGTCAGCATAAATGTCCTTCAGTTAAGGTTATTAGAGCAGGGCTGGTATGTCGATTAGCAGCATTATGTTCCTCATTGAAAGCTGAAAGTTTCATCTTAGGACATCATGCATTAGCCAAACCCCCTCTCGCCAGTGTGGGGAAGCAATAAAAAAGGC